TTCTTCTCTGCAATTTATTTAATTTGTGGTACTAGAATTTGAACTCAGGGCCTATACCTTAAGCTACTCCACCAGCCCTTTTTTGTAATGGGTTTTTTTAGAGATAGGGCTTCAAAACCTCAGAACTATTTTTCTGGAGCTGGCTTTGAACCATGATCCTCCTGATCTCTGCCTCCTGAGTAGCTAGGATTCTAGCTGTGAGCCACTGGCACCTGGCTCTATTCTGCAATTTAAGCCCTACTCCTTATATTTGTAAGGCACTCTAAGCATGATTTTTCAAATTCTTTGGTATTTTATCATGTTAATTATAATTTCTCACTTATAAGCCTTTTCAAAACCAATCTTTATGTATTTTACTGATAATGTTATAATGAATAAGTTTAAAGTATCACAGTTCTCTCACTCTAACAAGTTATTTTCAATTTCCTGTGTTCCCTTCCAGTTTTTATGTTTATATACATAAAGTTTTGTTTGATTTTAATTTTATTCCCACCTTCCAACCTTAATTAATTAAATGACATGTGTTTGAAAACTTGTAATCAATATAGTTCATTTTCTGTTTTATAACTTTTTATGGTTAGTCAGTTTGGTTTTATGGGGGGAGGGTATTGGGGACTGAACTCAAGGCCTCATGCTTGCTAGGCAAGTGCTCTATAACTTGAGCTGCACCCTCATTCTTTTGCTTTTTAGTTTGCTTTTTCAGATAGGGTCTCACACTTTTTCTAGGACTGGCCTTGGGCCATGATCCTCCTATGTCCACCTTCCAAGTAGCTGGAATTACAAGCTATGTCACTATACCCAGCCCTGTTGTTTAGTCATTTGTTTAGTTTGAATTTATTAGCTAAGAATCTAACTCATTAACTTTTTTTCTTTGTATGTTGATTCTGATTTCTTTTAGGAGTTACATGATGTCTTCAATCTGCCTCATGACAGACCTTATTTCAAAAGGTCTAATGCTTATCATTTTCCAGATGAACCATACAAAGATGGTTACATTAGAAATCCTCATACTTATCTTAATCCACCTAACATAGAGACTGGTATGGTGAGTTTAACTAATTGTCTATGAGAGTTAATTGACCACTAATATCATTAGTTGTTTTTTGTTGAAGAGAAATTTTAAGTATTGTTTAATATGTGTTATTTCTAAAAAATAATATGTCACTTATTTCTTTTAGCAGTCATTGTTTGAGATAGCTTAAACAATGACATTTGTTTAAAAAAGTCAGGAAAAGAGAATGTATACCACATTTCTCTTACTAAAGTTCCATTCCCTGATTTGGACTTATCCCATTTTTTCATCTAAACATGAGAAATCATGCTAACTAAGGGCATAGTCTACCCAAAACATGCTGTAGGACAAGTCTAAATAAGGGACAAGACTTAATTTTCTATACAGCATATGCCTGGTGGCAAGGGATAGACCCTTACTATAAGTAGCTCAGATAAGAGTAAATTGACAGGGTGGAGAAAGGTGTTAAACAAAGGTACATCTAGGACAGTAAGAAAGGACCTCATAGCATCCAAGAGTGAGAGTACTAATACAGCTGGTCCTCTTAGCACCAGAGCAGGCCTGTGACCAGAGCTGTCTCCCTCAGGACCTACATGGGCTCCTTGATGGCATGCCATTGCTTTCTTTGTGTCTGCTTTTATAAGACACCCAGTTTATGGTTATTCATGCTGTAGTCTCTTGAAAGGATTAAGAGAATTGTTTTTTCAGGTGGCAGAGAGGGGATTGGTCTGTTGTTGAACTCAGGGCCTTGTGCTTACAGATGTTCTTTAACAGTTGAGCCATGCCCCGGCCTTGTGTATGCTTTTGATCCTGACTGACCTGTTCCATCTTTTCTCAGCCTCATACCTCTGTACCCTCATTGTTTTAGCTTATGTATAACTTTTCCTGTTCTTCACTAGCTGCTCAGTATATGCTGCATTTCAGCTTTTTCCCTGCTCCTTACTGCCAGGTTTACTCTGAACTTCCAATTTGGATTACCAAAGAAAAATTTGATGGGCCATCTTTTCAGGGCATTTTTTTTAATACCTTCTGAATATCCAGGAACTTTGTAGGGAGATTTTATTGCAGTACTGGGGTTTAAACTCAGGGCCTTATACTTGCTAGGTAGGCATTCTACCACTTGAGCCACTCTGCCAGCCTTTTTTTTTCTTTAGCTATTTTTCAAATAGAGGGTTGCTTTTATGCCTGGGCTAGCCTATATACCACAAACCTATTTATGCTTCATGCATAGCTAGGATGACAGGCACACACCACCATGCCCAGCTTTTTATTGTTTGTGATGGGGTCTCACTGTTGCTCAGGCTGGCCTCAAACTATAGTCTTTCTGATCTTTGCCTCCCAGGTAGCCACAATTACAGGTGTTAGCCACCACAATTGGCTTTATAACAAAATCTTAAGAATTAAAAATGACTATATGATATAATACCAACTCTAGAGGAATAAGGGGCTCACCTTTAATCTTGACCATCAGTATGTACTTGAGACACAACTTCATCCGATTGGATATGGACAGGCCAGCTTTTCCTAGAAAGAACTCTGGCTGATCAGTCACCATTCCATGCACACACGAGTCTTCAGTCAGTGTTGCAGTGAAATGATTTTGCTTATTTTGAGAAGATGAGAGCAAAATTATTCCTTCTTAAAAATCTTACTCCATGAAATCATAGAATAGGGAATATAAAACTTGAGTCTCTAACAAACAATGAAACTCTTGATATATTTTCTAGTAGATTGTAACATAAATGTTTTCTCTCTCAAACTTGTGCATATAGATATTTTATAATACACTCAATGTTGATTCTTAATAGTTTCTCACAAGGAACCTTAATATCCATAAGGTACTAAGTGGATCCTGATTGACTTTTGACAATTTAATGGCTTCCTTCTCTATACTGCAAAGATACAAAAAAGCATTTGTATATTTTTATTATTTAATATTGACCTGTGCATATAACATTTATGTAGACTGCAAAGCATAGGAGTGCCTACCTAATTTAAGAACTAGGACATTACCAATCTGTGTGCTACTTCCTTATCCTCTCCCTCCTCCCCAACATAGTCCCAAGAAGAATTCTTACATAGTCAGCCATCCATACTCCAATACTGTATCTGCAATTTGTGCATCTGTGGATACAATCAAACCCAGATGGAAAATGCTCTGGGAAAAAAATTATCTGTACAGAATATATACAGACTTTGTTCCTTGTCATTATTTCCTAAACATTACAATATAACAACCACCTAGCATTTACATTGTTTTATGTATTATACGTAATCTAGAGATGATTTGAAGTATATGGAAGGATGTGCACAGATTCTATACAAATAGTACTATGCCATTTTATAGTAAGGACTTTGTATCTATAGCAAGTCCGGAAACAGTTTTTGTACATGTACTAAGGAGTGGTACTTATCACCCCCTTCCTCTTTTATTTTTCTGATAGCTCCACTGTATGCACATGTATGTCACCTCAGCAATGTTCACTTGTTGAGTTTTATAAAATTGCATTGCTCTGCACCTTGTCTTCTGCAATTCGCTTTCCACTTGGTATTACATATCTAAGATTACCCATGGTACTTTGTCTCTCTGCACTTCAGTGGTCTTTATTACTGTATGATATTCCTTTGTGCGATTTTTACTGGGTTTTTTGCTATTAGGCAATCCTCTATGAACATTCTCTTACATGTCTCCTGATGTGTACATACAGGCAACTGTTTTGCTATATGTCAACATTTTCTATATGTTTTTTCTTCATTTTTCTGTTTTTCTCTGAGCCATTTCAGAGAAAATTAAGTAAATATCATGCTATTTATCTTTAAAAACCTCGCACAAATCTCCCTTCAATAAGAGATTCCCATTCATTACATAAGCCCGGTTCAGTTGTGACTCATTATTGTCATTTCTTATTCACTGCTGGATTTAATTTTCTGATATTTTGTTAAGGTCTTTGCATGCACGTGATTGATACTACCTTATAATTTTTTTTCTCATACTGTCTTTATTCAATTTTTGTATCAGTGACATATACTGGCTCATTAAATGAGTTGGGGAATGTTCCCTATTTTTTAAGGACTTTTCTTGATCATTCAGTAAAACTAACCTGAAAGAAAAACTAGACTTAGCATTTTCTTTGTGGGAACATTTCTCATAACATTCAGTTTTGTTAATGGTTATAGGACTTTTCCATTTTGTAAATTATATTTACCTGAGTTTTAATACCTCTTAAAATGCTTCTTTTTGATTCTTCATGCTTTTTTTTCTTTAAATTTTTGGTTTTGTTGACCCTATCTATTATAAATTTTGTTTTCTGTTTCATTAATTTTTGAGTTTTACTTTATTGTGTTTCTTCTAATTTCTCTAAATTGAACAGTTAGCTTATTGTTATTCTTTTTTATTTTGTAATTTAGAGCTTTAAATTTCTAGAGAAGCACTGCTTTTACCGTATTCTGTAGTTTTAATTTAAAGGATGTTAGTTATGTTCACTTCTAGGTATTTTTATATTTCTAGTATGATTTTTCTTTAACCCATATATTATTTAGAATCTTAATGAATAAATATATCTAAATTTATTTATTCATTTTTCTTTTCTCTACTGGTTTCTGACTCTTTTGCCTACTGGTAAAATAATTTTTAAAGGCTACTGGCCCTGAAATTTATTAAGTCTTGATATTCCCTATGGATGCTGTAACAGTCACAAACTTAGTGGCTTCAAACTACAAAAATATATTGTCTCACAGTTGTAGGGACTAGAAGTCCAAAGTTAGCACCATTGAGTCGAAATAAAGGTATCCACAGAGCCATAGACGACTGAGGAAAATCCATCCTTTACCTTTCCCACTGCTGGTGGTTGCTAGCATTCCTTGGCTTGTGGCCACATCACTAATCTGTGTCTCTATATATAGTCACTTGCTTTCTCCTCCAGTGTCAAATATCCCTTAGAATCTGTTTTATAAGAGTATGTGTAATTGCATTTTGGACCTGCCTGGATAGTCCAGAATAATCTCCCCATCTTCCTATCTTAAGGTCCTTAACTTGATCACAACTGCAGATATTTCTGGGGGAGAAGAGGTTCTTCATAGAAGGTGCCATTCATAGGTTCAAGGGGATTAGGACATAGGTATCATTCTGGAAAAGCCAATTGTTTTTACCTGCCAAAATGTTGTAACTATAAATTTTCTATCTGTGCTTGAGCAAAATATATATTCCCCAATTGTCTTGTGAGAGTTTTATCTGTGCCCACAATTCTCACCTAATTTTTTTAAAATAATACTGGTTTGTCAAAAAGATATGTACATTGTTAGCATGATACTACAAATAAGAACTTATGATAATATGCTATCATTGAATAACATCCCTTAGCTGAGTCAATGGTAGGTTTACAAAGTTTCAGAAGCATTCTTCCTATGTCCCATTATATGGACTCTTCCTAGGTTTGTTTATACATTCCTTTATTCCTTCCTTTATTATTCAGTCATCATTTATTCAACAACATTTATATCTGCTGCATACCCAGCCTGCTCTGGAAGCTTGGGCTCAGAAATGAATAAGATACTACATGTCCTCAGAAGCTCACATATTAGTGTGTATAGGCAGATCTTTTAAAAATGATAATAGGTTGTATGTGAAATAGTGATAATTGCTTTGAAAAGTAAATGTATAAACATTATATATAAACATACAAAGATGTGTCTATGTATACATGTACCTCTATGTGTCTATATAGATGTATATATGTGTGTGTATATATAGTGTATATATTGATATACATATACACATACATATTTGTAGAACAGAGATGGCAACTGAGGCACAGGGTGGGAGGCGAGAGTGAGGATGTCATTTTTAGGTTGGATGGTCAGGGGAGAATTCTGATATTTGAACAGTGACCTGATTGAAGAAAAGGTACAAGCTGTAAAATTATTTGGGAAAAGCGTCTTTCCAGCCAAGAGAACCATAAGGCTTTGAGGTCAGATTTGCCCATGATATATTTGGAGCTAAAGCAAATTAAGGAATAGGGAAAAATATAGGATATAAAGTTGGAAAGGAGGCAAGAAGGCAGGTCTTTCTTGGTCTGTTGGTAAGGACTTTGGACCTTTAAGAAAAACTCAAGAGGATATATTATTAAACAATAGTTCTGTGAAGGCATTTTTATAAGGCTCTAAAGTAACAGTCTAGCTCTCAGAACAGTAAACATGATTCAAGTGTATGTATAGAATATGGACTTCTGTCTTAACATTTTACTATATTTCTTTTTACATAGATTTATGTGGTCCAGGGCACATATGGTTATCATCATTACATGCAGGATCGGATCGATGACAATGGCTGGGGCTGTGCTTATCGATCGCTGCAGACTATCTGCTCTTGGTTCAAACATCAGGGATACACAGAGAGGTCCATTCCAACACACAGAGAAATTCAGGAGGTACAGAATGGGCCATTTTAAGTTGGAATTAAATGTACATTTCATTAGCCCTTAATATACCATTAGCAGTGTTACCTCATGGTGGGCACTTTTTTGTTTTGGAGGTTTTTCTACTTTCGTATTTTTGTTGTTGTTGTTCGTTTGTGGTACTGGGGTTAAACTCAGGGCCTTGCACTTGGTAGGCGGGTGCTCTGCCACTTGAGGCACAACACCAGCCTATTTTTCTTTGGTTATTTTTGAGATAGGGTCTCACTTTATGCTCAGCCTAGTCTGCCCCACAGTCCTCCAGTTTGTGCTTCCTTGTATAGCTGGGATGATATGCCTGTGCCACTGTGTCCAGCCATTGGTTGAGATAGGGTGTCATGGGGAGTTTTCTTGCCTGGGCTGGCCTGAAACCACTATCCTCCTAATCTCTTCCTCCCAAGTAGTTAGGATTACAAGCTTGAGCCACTGCGCCCAGTTTATTTCTGTTTTGAAGAAAAAAATATTCTTGTACTGGTATCAGGAAAAATGTCCTAAATGTAACTTTTAATAGTTGTCTTGTGTATGGATTTTTTTTTTATATTTTTAAATATACAAAGGCTCTAGTTGATGCCGGTGACAAACCAGCCTCATTTGTGGGATCACGGCAATGGATTGGATCTATTGAGGTACAGCTGGTACTAAACCAATTGATTGGTATAACTTCAAAAATACTGTTTGTCAGGTAAGGACTCTTCATGAAATCAGAGAAATCATTTCAAAGAGGCAGATTATTATTTTTATTAAAATAATAGAAAAATGGTATATTTTTTCCTCATTATTTTCACTTCTTCCTCTTTTTCCTTATTTCATTGCTTTATAAATCTCATTTTTAACCCCAAATTTTTGTTTTTTTAAAAAAAGACTTTTGAGTTTAAGAATAAACTGTGATATATACTTGCATTGACTACGCCTAATTTTAGCCTATAGTAGGAAAACTTAGAAATGTTGAATTTGATTGATTTAGAAATTTTGATTGAAGTTATATATAAAAAGTCTATAGATTTTTTTAATGCTTAAATATCCAAAAAGTCTTCAAAGAGAAAATCAAATGTTGACCTGTAACTGACCTTTGTTTGCCTCCTGCTCTTTTTCTTCCTAAGATATTTAATAAAGTGTGTTCAAATAATATATTCATTTTACCTTTTCCACAATTCTAATATTAAAATGAAAAAATATGAATGAAATGAGTATCACTTCCTCAGACCATGACTAGCTTACTCCTTTCAGTATAAGATTATGTTTTAGAATATATTTTCCAATGGTAACTATAGCAATAATACCCTTATTGTCCAAGTACTTTAATAGGTCTGATTTCACAATTAGAATTTAGGGTGATTGTGGAAATCAGTGCCAATATGGCAGATTCAGTTGCAGTTCTGTTTATAAAGTAAAAGCTTTTGTACATTAAAACATTATTTATAGTTACCTTTTAAGGCAAGAGTGAAGGTTTAGACTACGTGACACCAGATAGATAGATAGATAGATAGATAGATAGATAGATAGATAGATGATAGTCTTCAATTTAAAATGATTCAACTTACAACTTTTTTAACTTCATAATGGTGCAAAAGCAATACAAATTTAGTAGAAGCTGTACTTTGCATTTTGAATTTGATCTTTTCCTGGCCAGTGATGTGCAGTACAATCCTCACTGGTGATGCTGGCTGTGGCAGCAAGTCCTAGCTCCCTGGTAGTCACTCATCACAAGGGGAAACACAGTAGACTGGTTGCTAATCTGTGGTATTCAGTAGTTAGGTATGCTAAATGCATTTTGGACTTAGGATATTTTCAATTTACAATGGGTTTATTAGGACATAACCTTACTGTAAGTAGAGGAATATATCTCACCAGTCCATTTTTGTCTTTTCAAAAGTAAAAATTACATAGTACATCAAAATACTTCCTAAAATATATATTATAATTGAAGACACTGCAGTTTTCACATTGGCTTCACAGGCATTATATTAGCCCTAGACACTCCTCTATCATATAGATAGGGCAGGTATTATTGGTCTTAAAGATGAGAAAAACACAGACTCCAAAGTCCCATATGAAGAAGAAAAGAACCCAAGGCTTAACCTCATGCATCTTCTGATACTTAAATCTACCCATAAGAGCCCTCCAGGAGTCACAAGGTGACCAGTTTCGGTATTGTCTTAAAAATCCAGAATCTCAGTCTAGAGGTATGGCTTAAGTGGTAGAGCACCTGCCTAGCATGCACGAACCCCTGAGTTCTAACCCCAGTATCACAAACAAACAAAAAATCCAGAGCCTCTTTATACAATTCTAGAATCAGAAAACCAAAATCTTTTTGCGTCATTACTAGCAGTTAGTGGCCTTACATATTTACAGTTTATGTTGCTTTAAATTGCGTCACTTCCATCCTACTTAATTTTTATTTGAACTTAGTTCTTTTTCAATAACAAATCAGAAAGACAACAATGACAAAAAGGCAGAAAACATTGACTCCCCAAACTCATTTGACCCACATGATGGAAGTAGTTTACCTAATGAAAAATGGTTTCTTTCTAGCCAAGGTTCAGAAATGGCATCCCAAGGACGGGAGCTGGCTAATCATTTCCAGAGTGAAGGCACACCAGTAATGATCGGTGAGGTGTTTGGACATCTTGGGCTCTTTGCTAGAGTGGAGAATAAGTAAAACTTGTTAATATAAGAATATAATGTTGCATAAAATAAATCATTTTAAAACATTTTAAATGAACTTTTACACCATACATACTGACCAGTAGATTTTTTTTAATTTCCAAAATCGAGGAGAAGTTTTTTAAAAAAACCTATGATAACCAGAAGTAAAAGCTAAGGGGAAGAAAAACAACTGTATTAAAGAGCCAAAAGTAGTATTAAAAAGAGTTGATGGTCACTTGACAAGCATCTTAAGTCATGGCTCTGTCATTAACTTGGCTGGCTGTGTAACAATGCAAATTACCTCTGTGGGATTTATTTGTAAAATAAGATGATTGAATTAGCTGATCTAAAGATGCATGATTCTGTGAAGAACAAGGCTTGTCCTCGAATGACAGAAGTCAACCTAAGACTAGTACGTAGGAAATGGAGGTTGGCCGATGTCAGCAGCATATCCCAGAGAACCAAATGATTGGCTGGGCTGGACTACTAGAGATACTCGAGCAGGTGCAGCAGGACCAGCTACTGTGAAAGGTACCCCAGTCCTGACTGTTACTATGTTTGGAGGAATTTGGACCCTCTGTGGTCCTTGCTAAGTACACTTTAGGTAATTCTAAGAATGTAACAGTGTAATACAAATTTTACATGATTATAGATAAGATTATATTTTTATGTGTCAAAGATGTGATCTTATCATTTCAAAGTATATTTGCCATCATGATCTTTTACAATATAGGATACTATTTTAATGATGTTTCAGATCAATTAATAGGCAAAATAATCAGTTTTTTAATTTGAATTGAATGAACAGATGAGATTAATTTCTACCTTCTGTATTTCCTATTTCTTCAATAGGGGGAGGAGTTTTGGCCCACACAATACTAGGAGTTGCATGGAATGAGATTACAGGGCAGATAAAATTTCTGATTCTAGACCCACATTATACAGGTGCTGAAGATCTGCAAGTTATTTTGGAAAAGGTAAGTATTCATTTAATACAAATTTAGACCTAAGGCATAGAACCCAGAAATGAAGGGTAACAATCAGATTGTTAACAGAAAGGTAATAAGCCAGGGTAGTGATCCTCACTGTAAGGAGGTATTCTATGGCTGTCAAGAGTAGGGAGGACAATGGGCTGGTAGAGTGGCTCAGGTGGTAGAGCGTCTGCCTAGCAAGAGTGAAACCCTGAGTTCAAATCCCCAGTACCACAAAGAGCAGGGAGGACAAAAGGAACAAAGTAAATCACAAAAGACAAAATTTAGGTTAAATTTATAAAACTTTCTCAATTATTAAACTTGATAATGGAACACAAAGCTCATGATACATTCCTTTGGAGATTCTAGAGCTTTGCAAAAAGAAATGTATTGAGGTTTATCACGGCCTTGAAATAGGAGAGTGGAATAGAAAAACTTGTAATTTTAGAATTAAACAAAAAATAGCTAATCATCCTAGTCATTAGCTACTTTTAATTAATATAAATATAATCTAATTATATTCTATAAAGGATTTGAAGTTGAGGCAGATTTAAGAGTATTTGTTAATGCTTACAATATCAGCTAAAGGAGGTATAAATTTAAATTAGGCTACTTATTCTCATAAGAAAATTAGTACTGGGTCTTTAGGAGGCAAGTATTGTAAGGCATAATTAACTTGAATTTTAAACAATATTTAAATTCTTTACCAAACATATTAAAATTACAGAGAATGCATATGACCTTTTTATCCTAGTCTTACCAATTACTCTTCATTTTTGTCATGCTGTCACTTAAATCAAGATAATTAGTACCAAAAAAGGTTTCTCTGAACTTGAAGTTGTAGTTTAATTAGGTCATGATTTGTACAGCAGATCTCTTGGAGAATGGGATGGCATAACATTGAAATTCATTGCTGAGGTATTCTCAGAAGTTACAGAGAATGTACCTACATTTTCTTGCTTCAACACTAAGGATAAAATGTCTTAATATGTTTGTTAAAGAGCTCTTGGTGTGTGGGTTAGCTGAACTCTCACATCTTAAGTTACTAAAGTCTTGTTAATGATGAGTAAATACTAACAGGCTATAAGTATTCTTAAATTTTTAAGTGCTTTCTTTTCCCTTTCAAAACATTTGGAATTTTAAGTCTCTGAAAGGTTTTTGACTGGTGTACATTATCTTACTGAATGTAGTAGCATCATTTACTCTTTTTGTAGCAAAGTATTCATTCATCCAACATTTATTAAGTACCCAGTACCTGCCAGTTGCTAGCCTAAGCACTAAGAAAAAGGTCTTTAAGTAGCTCTCAGTCTAGGAGAGGACAGAGGAGAAGAGACCAAAAGGATTCTCAAGAACAAACGCAGTGGTACCTAAGGCAGGTTTACAAAGCTAATGCTGCAAAAAGATCACCTAGAGGAGGCAGTGAAAGGAAAACATGGCCTACTCTTGGAACTGCAGGAGCCCAGTGCTGGCAGTGAGGAGGGCAGCAGGAGGGGCAGGCAGGAGCTAAGTCAGGAAGGGTAGTCATGTGAGCCAGGCAAAGCACAGGGTTTAGAGTTTATCTTAAAGGCTGAGAGAGAGGAGTGGATTCATCAGGGGAATGGCTATAAGTAATACAATTTCTTCTGGCTGCCTGGCTTGAGGGGCTTTGGAGTGGATGGAATATTATCTAGATAGGGTTTCCTGAAGCAGTTAGTAGAGGAAGCCATTGTCCCTGGTTACCTTCTCTGAGAATTGCATCTCCTTCTTTGCTAGTTATATTTCTGTAGAAGTTTGCAACACCAGAAACCCTCTTGATCTATTAGTCCATACAAGAAACTAAAAGCCAGGCATAGTAGCACATATCTATAATCCCAGCTACTTAAGGTTGAGGAAGGAAGATGGCAAATTCAAGGACAGCCTGGGCAACTGGTAACTGAGGAAGTATCTCAGTGGTAGAGCACTTGCCTAGCATGCACAAAACCCTAGGTTCAGTCCTCAGTACTGAAAAATAAATGAAGAAACTCTGAAGCCAAGGTGAGACCATCACTAGAACCTTGACCTTGACTGCCACTTGCTTCCAACAGTCCAAGAGATGGCAGGCAAGTCCTGACTCTACCCTGCATGGCTGTTTCTTGTTTAACATTGCCAGCCAATTCATCTCAAAGAGAAGCATGATCCCCCCCATACATATACTTGTTTTGGCACCCTCCCCACTCATATCTCTTTAAAAAAAAAAAAAAGTCTTTTGGGCTGGTGGAACCACTCAATTGGTGAGAGTGCCTGCATAGCAAGCATGAGGCTCTGAGTTCAAACCCCAGTATTGCAAAAATCAGCAGATTTTAGGACATCAAATTTGTTTATAGAAATAGGCCTAAAAGACAATAATCTAAACTTTATGGTGATTACCTAAGGAGCAGTTGAACAAGTGGAGGGTTTTTTTTTTTTAATTTTGATCTTGCTTGAATTTTTATAATGTTTCTTATTTTTGCAACCAAAAACAAAATTGAAAGAACATCTCCAGTCAACCCTCTCTCCTCCACTCTAACAATCAGCTAATATGCAATCTTCCATAGACACTAGGCCCTGCCAGAATGCCCATCAGCTTCAGAGTTGGTTAAAACAGCAAGACTGCTACTTGTCATCTGTATTTTAAGAGTCCTCAGATAGCCTTACAAGTACTTCTCAAAGAAATACTTGAGAATTATGTGACATAGACCAGCCATGAGCTTTTTCTTCTTTAAGACAGTAGATCAATGGCCTTAGAAGAAATGTGATAAGCTTTCATATTCATAAGGAGATTCTGTTTGAAAGTAACTTCTCTGCTGGAGAAAAGGATTAATACTGACATGAAGAATGAACGTGAACTTGGTTATAGCATAAGAAAAATGAAAGAACATAGGATGCAACTCATGGAGCAAGCTCAGGTTTCTCACTACCATATTTCATCCTATCTAAGATGCTACCCAGTATATTTCTACAGTCTTTTATGAACTACTAGGAAAAATAGACTGCCAACTGTGCTATTACAGTTATCAGTTACCAAGCTCTTAATTGTATATCTTAGAACTAATAAAGTATGGTATCTGGACTTACAAGGAAGTTTTTCTATTTTGATGAGTTCTATGATTAAATACTGTAAAGTTAAAAATTTAAAAGTCTGTGCTAAAATGACCCAAAAAGTTACTGTTCTTTCTTCACTTAGAAAACCCTTGAATTATGTAAGTATTTGTGTCTTATTCCAAGGTCCTACTGAGTGAGCTTCATGTTACAATTTCCATCATGTAGTCTTATAACTTTGTAAAGATTTTCCTTTCCCTTCCCCCAAATCCAGGGCTGGTGTGGATGGAAGGGCCTAGACTTTTGGAACAAGGATGCTTACTATAACTTATGTCTTCCTCAGCGACCAAATACTATTTAAATTATCTTGGACTTCAAAACTGTAAAAAAGTGGTATTATAAATCTGTTAATAAAAAATTATTTAAATTACATCCTGGGTATAGTTTAATAGTTTAACTATGATTTTTTTCAAAAGTAATAAATACTTCATGGAAATTTTATCCTTTAAATGACAAAGCATGCACAGAGAGATTTTTTTTTCTTTAGACATTCCTTTAATAACTTAAAAGAGGAAGCACACACAACCAAAATATCATAGGCATGTAAACACATGTATTCATAAATGTTCTCTTCACTCAGAAGAAAGTTTTCCTCCTTCTTGGAAGGAGTTTGAACACATAAGGTAAGCCAAAAGCCTTCACCTGTAGATCTGATAGAATGAAGCCCTTCTTCAAACTTCTTCATAACCAACATGACATCTGTTTTTAAAAAACATGTTAACATTAAAAACTTTTTTTTTAAAGTTTTCCTCCCTAAACTTCTACCATGCAAGACAAATTCTATTCTCCAGAATCTAGCAGAAGTGATTGTAACCAATATCAAATGTTAATGAAAATTAAAAGGTAAATCCCAGCTACTAGGGAGGCATAGGTAAAAGAACTGAAGATTGAAGTCTGGCCAATTGGGAAAAAAAAACAAAACTTGACCCTTTCTGAAAAATAACTAAAGCAAAAAAAATGGCTTGGAGGCATGAGTCAAGAGGTAGAGAACCTGCCTAGCAAGTGTGAGGCCCTGATATCAAATCCCAGTACCACCAAAAATAAATAAATAACAAAAAGATAATACTAGAAATAGGAGTGTTGATATTTTAAACAAAACAAATTCTGTGCTGGAAGAGACTGCTGGGGAAGAAAGAAGCAGCTGTGACTTACTTACCAACACTTCCGCTTCACATTTGTATTATCTACACTTCCAAAACTCCGTTTCTGTCTGAGTACTGGAACACAGTGATCTGTATTGGGTTGTTCACTTGATTTTATTGTCTGTGTACATTTAATTGTTGTAAGAAACTTGGCACATTCTGGAAATCCACATGACCAAGCAAGATCTTCAGCTGTTTGCCCATTCTTATTACATAAACTGAAATTAGACAAAAACTGAGTCAAATAAATATTGATAATTATTCAGTCTTTCTTTTCTGTCTAACAAGAATTTTGGATTCATCTATGTAGAGTACAGCTCAGAAGAGGTATTGGGCTGGGAATACAGCACAATCAAGGATCTTTGTTCAATTCCCAGCATCAAAAAAAAAAAAAAAAAAAAGAAGAGGAGGAGATAATGCCAGGGAAAATTCACTTTTGCTCACAACTGTATCCCTAGTGGCTAGCAGATTCAGCACAGAGTAGGCATTCCACTGTATTTGTATTTCATTATTGAATGAATATACAGTATTTGGTGTTCAATACAGTGAATGAGTACCCAAACATAGGCAATGAAAAATTCTATAGAATGAGTCTTCCTTTCGGGTTACAATACTATACATGGAAGTGTCACAATGAAACTTCCTGTAGAGCTATCTTAAACAAACAAAAATGTGTTTTTTTTCAAAAACAGAACAGGAAGGTGAAATAGGTCCTGTCCAGGGCTTGGTTCCAGTGGAAGGGGGGAGGGTATAAGGAAACGGAGTGGGAGGGTGAATGCAGTGGAATTATGCACTCATGTATGTAAATGGAAAAATGAGACCTGCGGAAACTACTCCAGGAATGGGGGAAGGGAGATAAAGGAGAATGATGGAGGGGTGAATTCAACTGTGATATATCGCAAGCCCTTCTTTAAATGTCACAATGTACCCCAGCAAAACAATAACATGATAATAAAAAATGGATCTTCCTAAGCCAAAGCTGAAGTGGAATACTGCCATTGTGAACAGAACTGCACCTCTGGTTGCTCAGAACCCATTTTTCACTTACTCTAGTTGATATTCCTAAATATCACTAAAAGCTTAGGTAAACATTTGAATGATAACACTAAGTTAAAAATTAGGCAAGCATTACTTTTGAAATCACATAGAATTAAGCTTCAATAGGCTGATTAGTCCAACAAAATACAAATTTGAAGCCATTGATTTTATACTCACTCTATTTGGGCATCGCTGGCTACAAGCAGGCTGAGACATTCCAAGCTTCCAACTTTTGCTGCTTTGTGAAGTGGAGCTTCTCCCAAAATGTCCTTTAGAACAAGACAGCATATTTTAGTGTCTCTCAAAAACACTTCCTGTGAAAGTCAGTGGGTGAGTCTAATACTAGCTATTTGAGGAAGCCAGTTAAAATTCTTGTGTGGACTGAATTTTTCATTCGATTTTTTTTAAGGAGTGTACTAACCAGTACAAATGTTTAATTAATAAAAACGTGCAGACACAGCCATTAAAATTTAAGTGAATGCAAGCCAAATAAAGTTCTACCGAAGTCAAAAGGTACACAACCTTTAATATTCAGTGGAAGATGAAAACTACCATAAAAAAGTCCTGTATAAAGCTATAATGGTTTTCGGCATGCCTCACATGCTATACTGAGACTTGGTAATGTAACAATTACTACTTCTGAAAAACGGGCTGGGCGTGGTGGTACACTTCTGTAATCCCAGTTCCTGGAAGGCTGAGGCAGGAGGATCATCAGTTCTAGGCCAGTCTGGGCTACATAGCAAGACCCTGCCTCAAAGATAGTGAAAGATAGTATGAAATGGAAACGTAAAATAGCATGTCAATACTTTATTATATTATATACTAAAATATTTTGAATAGTGTTACTACAATTAACTTCATGTTTTGCTTTGCTTTATTAATGTGAATACTAAACATTTCTAAATTACGTGTCTTGTGTTTATAGTGGACATTCCTGCTTTAGACGTGTTTGTAACAAGTGAAACTGAGTGTTCTGGCTGCTAGGAAATGTTTGTGTGGATTCGGGGTGGAGGGGAGGGCTGTACACAGCAACAATCAGTTACCTAGTTACCTGTTGGTTGAGGTCAGCACCTGTTTGCAGTTGCCAGAGAAGAAAATAAACGAGGCCACCACCTGCGGCTAAGTGGACAGGCGCCTGCTCGCAGGGATCCGGAGGTGCGTTGACCGAAGCCCCGGTCGCCAGCAGAAGCTTGAGACTGTCCAGCTGCGGGAACACACAGGATTCAGCGCCTCTCTCCGCTGTCCAGTCCTGATCCCTCTCCGCCGTGACCATCTTCCCCCACTGCAAAACCCTTCCCACTCCGGCCAGGCTGGAATTGGCAGGGCCCGGCGGTCAGTCCACGATCCCCCTCACTAGCGCTCCCGAGCGCATGGACATCTGGAAGGTTCAGCCTGCAGGACAAAAGGAACCCACCCGAGTCTCACCTCCTCCGGGTTGCAGTCAAGCAACAGCATCTCCCGCCTAAAGCAGATGACAAGAGTCCCCGGAGTGTGGAGCGGGGGGACACTCGCTGCAGACTGGCAGGTAAGAGTGCACAGTCCTGCTCAGTGCGGAGAATTTAAAGATCCGGGACTAGCTGGCCGAACCCTGGCCACCGCGCCCAGCAGCTTAATCCCCACTGCCGGAACTTTCCCAGCCCCGCGGCCACAGCACGTACACAAACACTGACACGTGCTGCCTGGAACCTGAAGCCGCAGGCGGCGAAGGAGGGGGCGGGGGCGTGGCCAGCCAGACGATTGGCCAGCCCGCTTCGGGGCGGAGCCTTAGCCACGGCGGGGAGCTGCAGTACGCATGCGCCTTGAGTGCAGGGAACGGGGAGGGTCAGAGCCCGGATGGTGGAGGTTCTGTCGCAGCCATGAGGCGCGCTCCGTTTGACACGTATCGCGTTGCGTTGCCAAGCCCTTTAATCCTTTGGAGAAGCGGGAGTCGCGGGCGAAGGTTTGGGTTCTGCGTGCACGCACGTAACCAGGAAGAGGGAACCATAAGTGGCTCGGCCGACGCCGCCTTTTGAATGCCATCCCTGCGCGGGAGGAATGGGCTTCCTTCTGCCTCACGTTCAAAGTCGCCCCGGGCGATCGCGTCCCCCAAGCCCAGGAAATTAGGAAGAAAAGCTAGAACAGGGGCGATGGGGGCCGTCAACGTGAACGGAACGGATAGGTCTTTCCCCGGGAACTGTCCTAGGGCGAATCAAGTGACTCATCCATCCGGGCCGGGGCTGGACGTGAGCCCGAGCGCGTAGGGCGAGTCCTGGGCGGCCCGGCCGTCGTCCCGTTAAGACGCTGTGCGATGGCCCAGCGCAGACGTTAGGCGTCAACCCAAGGAATGCCGGCACTTTGCTGGGAAACCTGAAGTTACCCATGTCCTCAGTTCTTGGGAAACTGAGCAGAACAGGACAAGGACAATTAAGACCTCGGCCTCTTCTGGGCAGGGCTGGCTGTAACTCGGGCCACCAGGGGAAAGCAGGCCGGAAAATGGCTCCCTGGGAGCTCTTTGTGCCATTTAGCGTGACTCATTCCTTTCTGTGAAACTTCAGAAACAAGCTGACTTCAAACTGTAGCCACTGACATCGTAGCTAGTGCCTTGACCCTTCCTAAGCAGTCTTTCCAGATGAATCTAAAAACTAAAGCCATCGTCTGTTTCTTCTCTATGATCTTCAGTGACTTCCTTCTAACTAGAACTGGAAACTAGCATGCTTATTATTATGGCTTTTTAGCTCAGTTGTCTTTTAAATGTAAGTGGGCCTCTAGTAACTTTGACCACAGTTTATTTGTATAACATCCATAAGATAATTTACAATCATAACTTTTCATTAACACTTATACAGTGACTCAAGGATAGATTAGACACTTATTCATAGGAGTATTTGAAGGTATTTATGTTCAAACACAAAGAATGGTGCTTAAGTTCAGTATTACGGTTTTTTGTTGCTCTTTTTGAGTGGGACTGGATTTGAACTCCGGGTTTCACACTTGCAAACCAGGCGCTCCACCGCTTGAGTCACTCCTCCAGCCCAAGTTTGATATTTTTAATAAACTCTTCACAATACCTATTGACAGTAAATGGCACAGCAGAGATGCTGTCACAGACATGTGGCAGACACATACTCATATTACCAGTTTAAATTAAGACTCAGGTTTGCAGTGCTATTCATTTTTAGAAATTCCAGATAAAAGATACTATCAGAGAGGGTCTTAGAGTTCTAAACATTTGTGGTGTAAAATTAGCTTGCATAAGGGGATGTGTGGTAAAAATGCCTCCCTTTTACATCCTTTCCCTTTAAAAAGAGAGTCTTTAAACTTCTGATGCGTCGCTAAGCTTTACGAGGGAAGGGAACTCATGGCTCAACACTTGTCCATTGCTCAGGTTGTTGCGGAAAAATTCTTTATGCCATAGGCTGGGTTTAAGCCTAACAAACTCAACTAAGCTCGTGGAGCACGGAAACACACAGAAAAGTACAGTGAGCGTCACTGACTGGCAAGTATGCGCCAGGATCGCTTTTCTAAAGAGGAAGTGGCCTGCGTAACGCATGCTTCTAGGCATTGCTAACGCTACATGCTTTATCTGCTGGTAGATGTGTGTCTACAGGAGGAATGGCAGTTCAGGGTGAGTGTTTTTAAAAAATGTTGGTTGACAGCTAACTGACCAACCAAATGAAAGATGTGTGGGATGAGACTTAAAGGGTTTCTAAGAGTTCGCTAAATAATCCCAAGAGGAGATGGTATTTCTAACAAGCGTAAAACATCTTCCAGTGTTGACAGAAGTATGTGTAGCTCATTCTGGTGGCATGATACACATACAGCAATGATGAGACATAAAGAGAAAGGCTTACAAATGGTAAATTACATTACACGACCACTGTCTAGTCCATGTATTATTATAATACACTGACATTAATTGAGCACTTACTCTGTTGTAAGACTGACACTGACAAGTTTTGTGTCTTTTACAGAAAAAAACTGAGATTTTGAGAGGTTCAGTGATTTGCCTGAAGTTGTATGGTTATTAATAGGTACAGCTGGGATTTGAACTCAGACTGCTTCACTCTAAAGCCCACATTCTTACCATTCCTGTATATTTTAAAGAATTTTGGACATCTTTGGTAAATTCAAACTACTAGATCAGCTTCTATAAAGCAGAAGAGTCTTTAAGAATAATATATTATTATAATCTATACTTATAGGAAAACAACATTTTTCTCTTTTTTCTTTTTTTTTTTCCTTTATTCATTTATTCATATGTGCATACATTGTTTGGACCATTTCTCCCCCATGCCCCCTGTCCCCTCTCCCTCCATCCTCCCTTGCTTCCAGGCAGAACTTGTTCTGCCCTCTTCTCCAGTTCTGTTGGGGAGAAGACATAAGCAATGATAAGAAAGACATAGCATTTTTGCTAGTTGAGATTAGGATAGCTATACAGAGAGATTCCTAGCATTGCTTCCATGCACTAGTGTATTACAGCCCGAATTGGCTCATCTCTACCAGACCTCTTCACTACTTCCCGGTCACCCCCCCATAGTGACCTCTGTCATTTTAAGGTTACTGTATTAGCTCCTCTGCAGTGGGCACATCGAACACTTTCAAGTTTTGGGTTTCCTACCTTTCCCTATTCCTCCTGTGTGTGTTCTCCCCTTAGCGTGTGACCCAATAGTACTGCATTTGTTTTAGATATAAAGTCGTACATAAGGGAGAACTTAAGATTTTTGGCTTTCTGAGCCTGGCTAACTTCGCTTAAGATGTTCTCCAGTTTCATCCATTCACTTGCAAATGATAAGATTTCATTCTTCTTCATGGCTGAGTAAAACTACATTGTGTATAGATACCACATTTTCTTAATCCATTCGTCAGTAGTGGGCATCGTGGCTGTTTCCATAACTTGGCTATTGTGAATAATGCTGCAATAAACATGGGTGTGCAGGCTCCTTTGGTTATATCCCCAGGAGTGGAATTGCTGGATCATATGGCAGATCTATGGTTAGTTTTTTAAGAAGCCTCCATATTGTTTTCAGAAAACAACCTTTTCATTTAATAATGATTGTTAATGTAGTTTTATTCCTAGAATTGAATCTCCCACAAGACTTAACCATTTACCTCCTGTTCAAGGAATTCCTCTTCAATATTTGAGTATGTAACAATAAATGAAAATTATTAAAGTGGAACGAATAGGCTACTTTCATCTACTTCATTGCTTTTATTCACCAAAAAGTTACTGAAAAACATTTTTTAAAGGCACAGCATTGAAAAGAGCAATTAGGATTACCTACTAATCCCCATTTATCACCTTTATGTAGCATCTAATTAAATGGTATACATTTAGTACAAAGCCATAGAAAATTTCAGCTCTAAATCAAGTGAAAGAATATAAAGTAACACTGAAAATCTCAATAGTTGGCTGGGTTTCACATGTAAAACAATTTCACAGCTCCTGAGAAATGTAAAACTGAAAAATATTCAAGTAATATTCATGAAACATTTGTGAGTGTAATGTCTCAAGCATTATTTCTAGTGTGACACCCACGGTATGTTAATGTTGGCCAAAGCCTACTGAGCCTTAAAAGTAACTAAATATTTTCATTGATGATTAATAGTGATATTGTGGTAATAATAATTCTATAGCACTGAAGATATAACAGGAGGTTGTAGCCAGATACAGAATTGTAATAAAGAACCTTTGGTTTTGATCACTTTTTTAAACACTCACAAATTAAAAAGAACTTGAACTAATTAATTTCAACTCTGGCCATTATTAGGAAAACCATGATCTAATATGATTGTTTAAAAAAATAAACAAAAACAACAACAACAAAAAAAACCCAAGGATTTTCCACAAAAAGAACTTCTTCTTTGGCTTTAATACAAAAACTCTTCCAGCCTTGGTTACTCAACTTCTTGGGGAAGGTGACAACTTCATCAGAATTTTTTGGAAAAATACATATTTGTCCTCTGTTGATAATGCTTAATTTCCTGCAAACTATGATCAGGAGGACTGTGATAATCTCAGTAGAAATACTGCTGAAATGGTTGCTTCTTCATTGTTTGATAAGAAAATGGAAAGTTGGAGGATGCTTTATTCTCGTCCTTTCTCCCCTGGATCATATTGTCCTTTCAGTGAAATGTAGAAAAATGTAGAAATTGCAGGTGATAAGTGTGTAGAGTTCAATGAAGCGGGGAAAAGGGTGGAAAGTTAGTCCTCAAACTTTTAGATGGGGGGCAGGTTTCATGCTGGAAGAGTTTCAGATGATTAAGTGCAGAAGGCTAAAATGAGCTATATGGTATTGGATTTGTCAGAGACATCAGGATGAACTCATAGTTACCTTCAGAAGGATTTACACAGAAATAATTATAGGTGTGTGTGTCTGCACAGATAGGAGACATACATTTCCTTGCCTTGCCTGCCCTGAAAGAGCCAAGAAGCAGAGACACTCCAGTAGCAGTGGGCACACCAAGCACTCATGCCATGAGATTATATATTATATCAACATCGGTGTCTTAGTTGGGATAAACATACCATGATAATGTTAACAGTAGTGGAAACTGGGTGAGGAAATTCTTACTATCTTTGCAAGTTTTCTGTACAACTCAAGTTATTCTACATAAAGTTTACTTTGAAAAAGAGCACTTTAGGCAACTTAAAATTAAATT